ACACAACAAAGTTATGTATGAAAATTGACTTCAAGCTTCATTTTTTTCCCAGGCACTTATAATCCATCCACCAAAGACCTGGTTTTTTTGTTAATGCGAAGACAATACTCCTGTATTTCCTGTTGTGTTGCACTCACTGACAATCTAGCAGATTTTTCCAACTTTGCACAGAAATGATTGTATATAAGTGAAAAGGCTGTTTTATACTACTGGGATTAACATTTATCAAGTGTATGTATGATCTCCAGCGAACATGTAAGGCATATCTTTCTACTGCCTGTAAATTGTGATTGAATTATATGGTTCTATTTCTGTAACAATTTGATGATGCCTGTAAACTGGCGTCCCTCATGTACTGTCCTATGAGAATAAATTTATTTATTTATTTTATTTATTTATATTTCCCTACTTCGGAAGGACATCTTAATGTATAAATCAGAACAGCAGAATAAAGAAATATTATTATAATTTCTCTTTTCTTCTACATATTTTATGTAATTTGGAGTTTGGATTTATTTTCTTCTGTTTCTGCTTCCGGAATTACCCTATATAGGTGTAAACTCATCATCATTCATTTCTCCCTAATTTTTTATTTTATTTTATTATTATATATTTTTTTACTACCATAAACATGAACTAACCGTTAATATGTAACAATATAAAATTCAATAACTATAAATTCCTAATAATAAAAAAGGGGAATGAACCCTGCGGTTATCGCATATTGTTTGTTTAAATTATTATTATTTGCTGGCTGCCTCCGCTGTTTTATTTTTTGTTCTCTTTTCGAAGGTATTTCATTGGAGCACTGCAAATGTACAGTAATGCTACTTTCTACGTTTGTATTACTTGAAAGATATTCAGAATATTGTTAGCACATGCGATGAACAACGGAACAAATTCCATCCTGAAATCTGTTTATCACCGCAAAGTTGGTCCCTTGTATCTGCTAATACCAAAATAATACTGTACTTACTTTCTATTGTGGAGTTTATAAATTTTCGGACCCTTATTATTTGATCAAATGATAATGATCGTAAGCTCTGCATCCTGTGTGTCTTATTCTAGCACTTGAGTATCACCTCTCTTCTTACCTCTCATTAACGAAACCTTTCGTAATTCCCGTTTAGAGGTTGACGGTATCGACGTTCACGAATTGTACGGAGTGTAGTAACGCAAGATCTTATACCAACAACTTCTATAGTGTTCTCTCTTCGAGTACCAAAGACAAAGCAAAAGACCAGATTTAGTCGTCCAAAGTACGATATATATTTCGGGACCAAATCGCGGGCTGAAGTGAATGCTTAGCTGGCTAGTGATCGTGCACGCACGTGACACGACGGAGTACCAAATGGTGAGGATGTTTGACCGTAAGCCTTCAGCTAAACAAGTCGACTTAAACAGTGAGGGTCAGCATCCAATGTTGAGTGATGATTGCTGTGGTCAATAATTTTGGGGCATTATTTACCGCTACACCCGCATGAAGTTGACTGACTATAAGTATATTATAGATTAAAATTTAGACTTAAACCAATATCTTGTAACTTATTCGATTAAAAGTAAACGTTGCAAGCTTCTTATAAAGTTTCTAGAGTCTTTTTTCCATTTTTAATGTCATAAAACTGTGTTCCATTTCAAACTGAACTTGTCAAATATGATCATGCATGTACAAGCGGTATGTCAATCATGTAAATGCCTAATTTATGTGAATGAAATGTTATTATTATTACACCCTGCCTTCAATCACCAAATCGTTGAAAGCGCAGAAGTCTGCGAATAATTCTCTATTCTCATTCATTTTACCGAGCCAGAGTCTCTCGACCCATGATGAGTTCTCTCCCTGCACAACCAGGTCGCAGTTTGGCATCCATATCTCCCATGAGGATTTTGATATCGCCATTTGGGATGTTGTCCATTACCGCTTGTAGTTGTCTTCAGAAATCTGCCTTCTCCTCTTGTTCTGAGTTATCTGTAGGTGTGTAACACTGGATAATTGTAAACTTCCTTTGTTTTAGGTTGAATATTTCTGTCATAACCTTAGTGAAATTGTTTCCCACTGCATTAAGGCTTTGGCTGCCACTGGTGACCCAATGATAGCCACTCACTGCCTCATTGTGCTCGTGGTTTTCGTCTGCGTGACCAGAACAGAGTAGATTACTGACTCTCCAGCTGACAATTCGGATAGTGCAAAACCATTCTAACGGCTATCACAGGTTCCTTACACTTTCGTGCCGTATTTTTTATTTCTTCCAAAATCTGGCTGACATTCCACTTCCCCATGGTTGTTTTTAATTTAGTCGGGAGAAGACACGGTGGCTGGCTGAATTCCCGAAATCTTTCACCAACCCGCCATGTCATTTCGTCTGTCCGATTCCAGGGAAGTATAAGTTAAATTTTTTATGGTTTTATTGCGCTTCGAAGTTTCTGTTGTCATTAGATTGATCTTCGGGGACAGAGTTCCTAGACCCATAGCCGAACTTCCCTCTTCTCTGGGGTATGGGACTGGCTAGAAAACTAGCGAACCAGTAAACTACGTGAGGCTGTGTTATATATTCACAGAGCGAATGTGGCTAACTAAATGAAGAGTTTAACTGTCTTGAAAATCACTACTCGAATACTCATCAGATTTCAGTTGATAAATGAAATTCATAAAATGTGTAAATTTATTTGGAAACATCTTTAATAGGTTATAAAAAATCTTGCACTGCGTGCAATAGCTTGTATATAACGCTTCGTCAGGCGGACATAGAAGATCACTCTGTTCACAACAGACATCTTCGTCAGACGAAACTTTATGATGTCGATTGTCCTAATGATAATTTATATGATTCTCTAGGAAGCCGATTAGTGAAGTAGCTTGTGTAGATACAAGATCACTTTCAGTTGTCTTCAAAATAGAACCACTTCAAATAGTGAAGTGAAACTCATGGCTGATCATCTTAGAAACATTGTAATACAAACTGAAGCTTTGTTTTCATAAATCCGCAGCACCATGACATTTCACTTTTACTGGTAGTAATAACTGATAAATTTTTGAGACGGATAGTGGTTCATCCCTGCCATTCGTGTTAAAATTCGATTCAACAAACGATTTCTACGTCTAACTAAATATACTGACCTCTACCATTATTATTATTGTCACACCTTGTAGTATCTATATGAAGTAACATTCATGGGCATAGTGAGACTTTTTTATGACCATATATCTTTCCAAAACTTTCTTCCCCACTTCCAAAGTTCCCAGTGGAACACTGAGCTATGGTGTTGTTTGTAGGGGTGAGGGTGTTTACCTAAAGCCGAAGCTTCGCTTTTTTCAGGGCTTAATATCAGTTAGTAAACTAGGCAAGGTTTAAGGGTGCGTCGGTAGGGAGCCGAACTTCAGACTACGTGCAGGGCTGGCGAGCATTTTGCCGCTGAACCGTCGATAGTAATTATTATTATTCCCCTAGGCGCTGAGTGGAAAGTAGGACTTCAAAAGCATATCTTAAATTCATCATATTTACTGAAGTCACCCTTAGATGGCTCTGCGACAGCCTATAAACTGTCACCTTCGCCTCACATTGTCTCCGTGTTATCCTTCAACGTCCAACGCGTAATTTCTTGTGCAGGTTCCACTCGACGGTCTGCCTGGTGTGTAGTTTCACTCAATTGTCTCTTCAGCATGTGTTCAATTCATCTCTTTTTCTCCGCATGGCTGTTGAGCGATAGGTTCTTGGTTGATTTCTCCCTTGATTTCCATATTGCCTCTCCTTTTTGGCCGACTATCTATTCGTCAGTGTGAAATGAAACTTGCATAAGCCTATCAGAAATGCTTTTCGTGACGCGCATGTTATTCCTCTATGTCATTTAAAAGCTATGGTTCGACATTAGTGCTGAAAATTTACTCTTGTTCTTTAAGCTTATTGTTGTAGATTTCCACAATGATTTCAGGATAATCAGCGCCTGTGATAGTTTCCAGTTCCTGACTGGCTGTGACATCCTCATTCATTCCGCCTGACTGTAGTTGGAATGACGCTGTCTAGCCAAGTGAAAGGGGTGAATTCTTTTAGACTTGTCCTGTTGGTGGTGACGGATGCTTGTTGCTGTTGGTTGGTTATTTTCATCACCTCGGTCCTCTTTATTTTCACTTGGAATCCTATCTTTGGTGCCTCCTCCGACAACTTGTTGGTTCCCACCTGTAGATATTCAGGTTTGCATCACACTAGACATAAATCATCCACGAAGTCCAGATCTTTTAGAGTTTTCTTATTGATCCAATGTATTTTTGTCTTCTCACTCGCAACGCAGAGTCTGACGCATAATCCAGCCCGCCATAATTAAGAATATCATCGGTGATAATAGGCAGACTTGTCTTACTCCTGTCTTCATTTCAACGACTTCACTGAGTTTTCCGTTGTGAATTACTTGAAATGTGTCACTGTCACATAGCTGTGGTTAAATAAGTTTGAAAAGATTTGGGGTACTGCATTACATAGTGGTGAAGTAGTTTCCCAATTACCTCTCGGTCAAAGCCATCTGTCGAAGGCCTCCTCGAAATCGATGAAGTTGAGGTAGAGAGAGATTTGACTGCCATTCTATGCTCTGTTTGGCGGTGATGCGTAGAGTTTCAGTTTGATCAGCACATGATTTACCTTTCTTGAGCCCATCTCGTTCCACCTGGCGGAGTTCTGTATCCAGTGCATCTTTTATCCTCTCCAGGATGATGCGACTTAATATTTTACTTGGTGTGAACAGGAGAATTATTCCACGCCTGTTCTTGAAGAGGCGTAAGTCACCCTTCTTTGACAGCTTGACAGGGTAGCCTTTCTTCCAGTCAGTAAGCACCTTTCCTTCCATCCGAAAACCTTTTGCAATAATGGCGTCAGCTGTGTCACCTTAAACATAAATTATCCTCAAAGTCCAGATCTTTCAATGTCTTGTCGTCAACCCAACAAATTACCAAAAGATTTATGAATTCATGAAAAATACAGAACCGACAAAGTAATTTTTGAAAAACAATTTGTTCCTTAAAATATTTGTATTTCAGTTTCAAGTAAACCCAACTAATATCCTAAGATTTTTTAATAATATTGTCGTTTGTTTGTTTCATTTTCGGAGAAATAAGAAATGGTTTAACAAAAACTGAGTTTTCGATAAACTATTAGTAATGTTAATCATAATAATTTTCTAGGTACTATGTTCATATAATATTAACACAATCGTTCTGGACATCTCATTGGCCAATCTATGAACCAGACTACACCGTCTTCTCCAACTCGATTCCAATCCAGCACCATAGACTGAAGGTGAAAAGTGAAAAAAGAAAGAAAAAAAGTTATTAAAATATTTCAACGCTTTCCGAATATTTTGGAACAAAGGGTTTACAATCTTAGAAAAATAGTATTGTATTTTGAGCAATAATGTAAATAAGGTAAGGAGACCTAAAATAAACCTATTTGATAAGCAGTTTGTCAGCTCTGTGTTTTAAAAAAATCTTTTTTATTGTTTTTACCTCCTTCACTTATCTAGGAAGCATCGTTTCAACTACAGGTGGAATGGACGAAGATGTCAAAGCCAGGCGGAATCGGAAAGGCAAGATATGCCTCCATCAACCTGAAACCAGTTTGGAAATCTTTTGCAATGACTCAGCATAAGGAACAAGATTCGGATTCTGTTCAACACAAATGTCAAGTCAGTGATTCGTTATGGGTGAGAAACTTGCACTGTAAGTCACGAAAAGGATTTCCAACAGTCTACAGCAGACTTTCATCAACAGCTGTCCCCTTCGATGGCTATATACTGAAGATCGAATAGCCGGTCACCCGGGCAGAAAGAACTAGTAACAAAAAACTCTGGATGCCAACAAACCAACCATGAACTGATCGCTCAATAAATATGTAGGAGAAAGTGGAGATGGATCGGACATACATCGAGGAGGCTGCCGAATGACATCACACTCCAGGCCATCCAATGGAGTCCCGATGAGAGGGTCGTCGGCGTGAAGGTGATATGTGGCTAGGAGGAGATGAGAGATTATGGGCAGTTACCGACCCAGCTGAAGAAGATGGCAGGAAACGGAACAAAGTAGAGATGTGTTGCTTAAGCCCTATGTTTCACTCGGAACCCAAGGGAACAATAATAATAATATAATACGCACCTTTCCCACTGATACTCCCTATGGAAATAATCTTTGACCTCCTTCAAGTTTATCTGAGGCTTACTCAATCATGTCACTTCTTGTAAGTCATTCGATCTACTTATTGAGTTTTATTTTACTTTCTACCCAATTATTGCTCCTTTTATTATGCAACTGTTAACTAAAACCTGGAATTTTAACGATACACCTTTGGGAACATTCTTTTCGTTGCCATGAAAATGTACTATATATATATATATATGTATATATAATTGTCCAGCTTGAGAGTGATATCATTGAAAGTGCAACAACAGAAGTCAAGGGCCAGGCAACAGAGAGTTTTTTTAGGAAATCAACAGATATTTATCGATTTTCATGTACATTATTGTAGATTATTGTGAGCAAGAAAAACACAGTCTTCTGATTGGTGGTTTCTCGCTGAACGTTAATCTTTCATCTCTCTGTGGCCGTTTCTTGATTATTATTATATTATTGTTTCCTTTAATTCCTAGAGGAACATAGGGCTTCAGCCGTGCGTCTCCATTGCGTTCGGTTCTCTGCTACAGTTTTCACCTGGCTCCAAGTCTGCCCACGCGCTTTCATCTCCTTTTCACATGACCTCCTCCAAGTCAACCTTGAACTGACGACCAACTCGCCGCTTCCCACTCTGTCGGGTTCCACTCGAGCAATGGCTTGTCTAGTGATGTCACTTGATGGTCTCCTCAGAGTATGGCCAGCCAATCCATCTCCATTTCTTCCTGCCTATTTGTTTCACAGTCGGTTCCTGATAGGTTGGTTCGCTCATTGCCAGAGATCTCTGTTGCTGATCTTTTCTGACCGGCCAGCTGATCTTGAGTATTGAGCGAAGACAACTGTTAATGAAGGTCTGTAGTTTGGTTGAGATGCTCTTTATGACGCACAGTGCAAGTCTCTGATCCGCATAGGGAGTAGCACTGACTTCACATTGGAGTTGAAAATCCGGATGTTATTTTTGATGCTGAGTGCTGAGTGTTGACCTCCACACAAACTTGAGAGTAGTGAAAGCTTGTCTTGCTTTTCCAATTCTTGCTTTGATATCCTCGTCAGTTCCGCCTGTAGTTGACACGATGCTTTCCGGGTAGGTAGGTAAAAGAGGTTGTTTCTTTCAGGTTCCTTCCATTTCTTGAAGTTCAGATTATCTGTCTGCAAATTGTATCCACCTATGCAAAGTCTTCTGTGACTGGTTGTTGAGTCAGTCCTTATTCTTATTTTTCTCATGACCAATATTGGGGACGTACACATTGACGTAAATCACCATCTACGAATTTTGGCTAGCAGCTAGTTCTCACCACAAAAGGAATGACTCTTCAATGGATACCTTTTCGTTTGTAAGGAGACAAATTCACGCTTGTTGTACTTTGTGTAATAGAAGTTTAGGAAAAACAACAGACTGAGTGAAAAAATATGCATTCCTTTTCAATTGGCAGTTCCTCATCATCGGCTAGCTATACACCAAGATACAGCTTGTTTTTACATCAAAATTGTTTTTACCAATCAAGTAGTTACTTTTGTTAATCAGGTTTAGGTATACGAGGGGTGGGATGAAATTAAGTGGTTAAAGGTCATCAGAACGACTAATTAATAGATGTTAGTTACAAGACGTTCAAGTTTTCAAGGAGGGAGGGGTGAAACTTAATTTCGGAATTCAAGATAAGTTGATTTTTAGGCATAAGCAACAAGTTATTACACAATCAAGGAATTTGTAGAATGGCGATGATGACTAAGAAGAATAGGATGACTCAGAGGAATTACGTAATATACAAACAAGTTAATAGAATTAGCCAGAATTGTAAAAATTAACAAAGTCAAAAGATGGTTGCAAAGGGAGGGGATAAGTCGTTTTAAAAAACTTAAAACATATTATGCAGTTGGTCAAGGTTGGCTAAGAAGGAGGCTGAACAAATTTCTTTTGAACACATCTGAGTATATTCCAAAAAAAAATTACATCTTAATGGTGCAAAACTGCTTCTCACCTGTTAGACAACGATCGATGCATTAAAATCCTTTAAGAGAATTACATTTGAAGACGACTCCAAGTTGCTACACATCATTGTAGTCATTGCTGCTATTAAATGATTTAAACGAAATTTATGCATTCAAAAAAAGGAAGCCGCTGTTCATATTACTTAGGCTTAATCTCTGCACATGTCAGGTGGTTAATTTCCCTTCCAAACAGAAGAGTGACTTATGTGAATGAACTGGTTAATTCTCACGATTCCACTATCACAGATAGCACAGTGAAGTTGAAACCAAATCGAATGTTGAATACCTTGGACTGTACATTTCTTCTGATCTTTCCTGGTTTTCCCACATTATGTTAGCTTCCAAAAAAGATATTTCCTTTGACATTCTGTGTAAGGAAGTTAAGACGATCTGGTATCATTCCCTCTCCATTGTTACCGTTTGTTAATCCTTGTATTCTGACTATAATTCTTTACTGTTCCCACTTAGTCTTTCTCGGCCTACTTAAGAAAGACTTTGGTATACTGCGTAGGCCGCTAAAAGCCGTCATTAAGGAGAGCGAGGTGTTTTTTAAACCAACTGGTTAACACTATTGTAGACAGACCTTTGGATTCCTGAAAGAAATTAGCAAATATTATCATTTTTACGAGCTGATCATGGATTGATATCAGTTAGAGAACCATTGAAAACCAGCCCCAGGGAGTACTGGACAGCTGTTTTATCCGTCCTAGTTTGGGAATCATCTGCAGTACGCACCCACCCGATGGGGGCTTCGAAGCCAGGACCTTCCGGTTACAAGGCAAGCTCGTAGACCATTCAGCCACTGGGATCTGATTCAGTGGCTCATGAATTATAACTTCTACCAATTCGTGATTTAGCGCGATCCCAGTGGTTGAATGGTATACGAGCTTGCCTTGAAACCGGAAGGTCCTGGGTTCGAACCCCCTATCGGATGGGTGCGTACTGCCGATGATTCCCAAACTAGGACGGAAGAAACAGCTGTCCAGTACTCCCTGGTTGGTTTCCAATGGTTCTCCAACTGATATCAATCCATGATCAACTCTTAAAAAAATAACTAACCCGTACAAACCAAACTATAGAAAATATTATCCTGTCAGACTCTAAACATCTTCTCCATACACAACTCACTCCATGCTACATCTCATCAGATAGGGAAACTGGAAGCAACTATAGGAGACTGTATGCTCGAACGACTAAGTACAAAAACTCTACAATACCTTATTTGGCAGGCACACATTTTATGTGCTGAGGAAAGTGCGTAAGGCAGGAAATTACCAACTAACTTACTGAGGAACTTTAAGTAAACAACATGTTTTGTTTTGTTCTCATTATTATATTGTCGCTAATATTTCCAATATTATATTATATGCTGAAAATTCCATATTTTTACCAAAAGTACTGTTTAGAACAAAGCTTTTACCAGGGGTTCTAGTGAGAAGCTATGACCAGTAGGGTCCAGCAGGTTGAAGGTGAGGGTATTTACTCATAGAAGAAGCCATTGAGAAGTGGTCGCGCTACTTCATGAATTAGTGGAAGTTAGAATTTATGGGCTGGCCATTTGATCGGATCCCATTGGCTTAATCGTTTACGAGCTGGCTCCCCTTGTGACCAGAAGGTCCTAGGTTCGAACTGATGAAGAGTCCCAAACTAGGACGAAACAATTGTCCAGTACTCGAAGGTGGTTTACCAATGGTTCTCAAACTGATGTCAGCTCATGATGAAATTCTCCAACCAATCAAAAAAGGAAACCCCAACAAAATCAATACTTGATAAATATACTTGATTGTCTGTCCCACAAACGCATAGATTTGAAACCTGTTTTCATAAAAACACCATAAATGACAACTAACTAACACTCCAAATCAAATCACCCAAATAAATTAAACATACCCATAGATTTTCTTGTAAGTCTTTATGACCAATAAATGTATTTCCATCTGGAGTACGTTTAATCAATAATTTCACTTTATTTCCTGGCGTATCAGAGGATAGTAGTGATTCAACTTCAAGAACACTTCCACGTTCAATAAAACCATCATTCCCACCGAAAAATTCATGTGGTATAGTATGTAATTGTAAAAGCTGAAAGATTACAAAAATCACATTTTAAACAATCTTTTGACAGCTGAAACACACAGAATCTTAGACAGAATTTAAATTAGAATGGATCAATTATACCATTTGGGCAGAGGCAGGATATTTGTTACAATGTGATTGGACAACATAGAAGTTTGACCTTAATCAGCTAATTGTGATTGGTTACTTGTTAGCTTCAACTTTTCGAGGTATGTAATATTTTGTATGTCTGTCTTCTATCTGTGGAGGTCAGGAGTGATTGGAAATCAGTATTTGGTATTCGGTCTTCAGGCGAGTTACTTATAGACTTCCTGTATCGAACTATGGTCACGGCATAATAATTAATGACGGTCATATCAACCTACATCATAACAGTGAACGACGTTATCAGACCCAGACAGCAGTAGCCTATTCTTTCGTATCAATTTGGAAAATTGTAAAATGTGATATGGACTCTTCAGGCTCGGACACATCGATCAGGCGATAATTTAAAATGGTGGAGATGCTTGCTGGTCTACGGGTATTTTCCCCTCCCTATTCGTCTGCAGCAAGAGATAACTTTCGGAGCAGTGTATCAGAATTTATTTATGACCCAAACGCAACATTTACGTTCGATACTTGGTTCCGCAAATACGAAGACCCAGTTAAAGTGGATTTCGCGGACAGAGATGATGGTTTCATAAGCAGATTGTCAATTCGGAAGTTTGGTGCAAATGAATTAAACAAATGTGCATCGGTGGCACAGTGGTAGAATGCTCTCCGACCACGCAGGCGGTCCGGGTTTCGATCCCCAGCCACTGACGCACTCCTTTATATCGCTAAGCCAGTAATAAGACTGGTAAAGGGGGAAGGTTGGGCCTGAGACTGGCAACCCAGTCCTGTAAAAATAAACACCACTGCTACCGAAACTTCAAGCCTCTAGCTTGAAGCCATCCTATGTTCCACTAGGACCATAAAGGAATAAAATAAATTGGACAATGGTGAAACCTGACTGTACCGCAGATACCAAAGTTAGAGGACAGCAGAAATAATATCGAGATTGAATCCACAGAATATTTCGCAGCAGAAACGGTCTTCAGCATGGCGACCCTCCAGCGTTTTGGTCCTATGTCAAGTCATGTCCACTTGAATATCATAAATATTGACGATGCTATCCTACTAAACAGAAAGACAGCTACAACAAACACATTAACTAGACAGTTTCCTGGATCTAGTCCCGTCGACATCTCATTCTCATGCTCTTACTCAGGAGACGATCCCGACGCAGACAGATGGATCCAATTTGTACCAAAAAAACGTCTGCAAATTAGTAGTGCGCATTCTTGCTTTCTGAGAAGAAGGTGTTATGTACCTCTGATCTTACCTGACACAGAACACTTATACTCTAAATAGGTTAGAGAATATAGTCATGGTTGACTCTGGATGGATGCTTAAATCCACAGTCAAAAAATACTTCCCAACAATTTTGGTTTGAGGATGAAGTCCTGCAAGTTCGATCTGCGTATGATGACTCAAGCATGCATTTTACAGCTTTATTAGAAGGTACTTCTTTGTCACGCCTTGGTTCGTGGACGGCCTGTTGTTCTTTGTTCTCATAATCCTAAAGTTAAGCCTTATTTTCCATGAAAGTGAATCTTTAGTTTGTCAATTTAACAAGCAACCTCAAATCAACCTGTTGCTCATGTCCAGTTGTAGTTTCTAACTGACATGAATTTTACAAAACTTAATCACAGGAGCAAATGGAACACTGGGCTGAACACTTCAAAAGACTCCTAAATCGACCACCATCTACAACGCGCCCAACAATACTAACAAAGGAGACAGAGCTACCAGTGAACACCAACCCCCCGACGAAATCAGAAGTCCTGAAGGCAATCAAGATGCTGAAAGCTGGAAAAGCAGCAGGACCAGATGGAATTCCAGCAGAAGCATTGAAAACGGACCCAGAGACAACAGCGGACTTGATGACGCCACTATTGGAGAAGGTGTGCAAAGAAGGCAAAGTACCCGAGGATTGGAGGAAGGGATACTTATTCAAACTACCAAAGAAAGGAGACTTAAGTCAATGCAAGAACTGGTGCGGAATTATGCTCCTGTCTATCCCAAGCAAAATACTAAGCCGCATCATCCTGGAGAGAATCAAACATGCCAACCTGGATGAAAAACCTCGACCGGAACAGGCTGGATTCAGGAGAAACAAGTCATGCATTGATCAGATCGCCACATTACGGATCATCATTGAACAAAGCCTGGAATGGCAGTCACCTCTCTATCTCAACTTCATCGACTTTGAAAAGGCCTTCGACAGAGTCGATCGAGAGGTGATTTGGCAACTACTTCGCTACTACGGGGTGCCACCGACAATTATACATCTCATCCAACAGCTGTACGACAATGCTGCATGTCAAGAAATCCACAATGGGAAACTTACGGAACCCTTCGAAGTGAGGACAGGAGTAAGACAAGGCTGGCTGCCTACTATCGCCAATGATTTTCTTGATTGCAGTAGACTGGATAATGCGACAAACAGCTGGCCGGGCAATGAGGAAACAGGCATAAAATGGACTCACACACAAAATTTGGGGGATCTGGATTTCGCCGATGATATATGTCTGATTTCCCACAAACTGGAAGATATGCAAGCGAAAAGCAACAAGTTAGCAGAAGAAGCATCCAGAGAAGATAGGACTTCACGTGAACATACAGAAAACAGAGGGGATGAACATTCCTGAGCAACAACAACAGACAACGATCAGCATAAATGGGAGGAATCTGAAAGAAACAACCTCCTATACCTACCTGGGAAGCATCGTTTCAACTACAGGCGGATGGAACTGACGGGGATATCAAAGCAAGAATCGGAAAAGCAAGACGAGCTTTCACTACTCTCAAGTCTGTGTGGAGGTCAACAACACTCAGCATCAAAAATAAGATTCGGATTTTCAACTCCAATGTAAAGTCAGTGCTACTATACGGATCAGGGACCTGGCTCGTCATAAAGAGTCTCTCAAACAAACTACAGACCTTCATAAACAGCTAGTTGTCTTCACTCAATACTCAAGATCAGATGGACAGAAAAGATCAGCAGGAACCGATTGTGCAACAAATAAGCAGGAAGAAATGGAGGTGGATTGGCCATACTCTGAGAAAGCCATCAAGTGACATCACTAGACAAGCCATTGCTCGAGTGGAACCCGAAAGGGAAGCGGCGAGTTGGTCGTCATTGCAAGGGTGACTTGGAGGAGGTGATGTGAAGAGGAGATGAAAACGTGTGGGCAGACATGGAGCCAGGTGACGACTCTAGTAGAGAACCGAACGCAATGGAGACGCACGGCTGAAGCCCTATGTTCCTGTAGGAATTAAAGGAAACAATAATAATACAATAATAATAATAATTTAGATTGTATTTTTTATAGGCCGTGAAGATGAGGATATCAAAGGCGGACGGGATCGGAAGAACAACTTGGGAATTCATACTCTGAAATCTGTGTAGAAATCTACCACGCTCAGCATGCTGGACGAGATTCCAATTTCAAATACTAACGTTTAGTCAGTCAGAGCTTCTGTGCAGTTCACAGACTTGGCATGGGAGTCATCAAAAGCATTTCAAACACGCTACTTCAGGCATTCATCGAAAAGTTGTCTTCACTGCATACTGATGATCAGATGGTCGACCAGAAAGAGCAAGCAACAAGGAACTCTAACAGTGCAATAAACTAACCGAGAAACTAATGTACGACAAATATGTAGAAGTGAGTAGAGGTGAACTGGAAATACGCTGAGGGGACTACTAACTGACGTGACGTACCACGCCCTCAGGTGGGACCTAACTGGGAAGCGAGTGACAAGTTGAGGTCGGGTTGTGAGTGTGACATGGAGAAGATTGTATGAGGAGGAGACAAAAGCTTCTAAGCAGTCGTGGACGTAGCTATAAGGAATTGTAGGGAACAGAGTAGAATAGAATAGTTCTGTTGAAGTCCTTTTGTTCCGTTCGGAACTCAAGGGGACAACAATAATGATAATAACAAGTTGACATTTGTAAAAATTATATTTGTAAACTCTCACCGAAATCGAAAGCAGTAATTCCAATGTTTCCTGCGATTGGCACTATGTCCCGAACTTCTTCAGGGAAATTTATCGAAATCATACTAAAAAGGTTTTTTATATAAAAAGGGGGACATCTCTTGTCTCTTTAAAAAGAATGCTTTGTCCAATCACATGAGTCATGAAACAGGCATCCAAATATAATAAGTAAACAAAATTGTATGAGCTGTGATCAAAATTTCACTTCAGACTTTTGTCAAACACTTTAAACAGAGTGTACTTTTCAAATGAACTGTCGTCAAGATTTGACAGAATAGTTCTAAAATATTTGGGCGCCGAGTGAGAAGTAGACATTTGTAAAAAATTATATTTGTAAAGTCTCAGCGATATGGAAATGAGTAATTCCAACGTTTCGTTCGGCAATCTGGTCTGAACTTCTTCAGGGAAATTAATCGAAATTAACATAACAGAGGTTCTAATATAAAAGGAATATCTCTTGTTTTTGAAAATTTGTCCAATCATGAGTCATTCAAAAAGTATCAACAAGTATAATAAACAAAATTTTATGAGCTGTGATCAAAATTTGACCTAGGACTTACAAATATTGGTCTACCTTTGTTGAACACTTTAAACAGTGTGTATGTGTGTGTGGGTAGACAGTTGTACAACATTTCTTAACGTTTCCATAAGAAGATATGGACAGTCGAGAATTTTGACCAAGTATTATTAATTAGTGATACATATCCATTTTTTATCTATTAATAAGGATTTCCTATGCATCAGCTAACATCACACCTTCATGTCTCTTCCAACTGTTAGTATCTAGAATTTTATGATTAGACGTATTTTCAAAATTATGGTGTTTAGGATTAGAGTTTAGTAGAAGCAACCTGTCGGACTTATTGCTTTGCCTTCTTTCTGAAGATTGAGCAGCTCACATACAGACTCTGTTTAAAGTGTTCAACAAAGGTAGACCAATATTTGTAAGTCCTAGGTCAAATTTTGATCACAGCTCATAAAATTTTGTTTATTATACTTGTTGATACTTTTTGAATGACTCATGATTGGACAAATTTTCAAAAACAAGAGATATTCCTTTTATATTAGAACCTCTGTTATGTTAATTTCGATTAATTTCCCTGAAGAAGTTCAGACCAGATTGCCGAACGAAACGTTGGAATTACTCATTTCCATATCGCTGAGACTTTACAAATATAATTTTTTACAGAGTGTACTTTTCATCAACTGGTTCAGTCGACTCTTGAATCAAATAATGATCCCAAAGCCTTCATAAAAAAATATTTAAAATCTGAAGATTAGGATGAGTGGAAATCTGTTGCTATGAATCGGGTTAGTACACTGGTGATTCCTTACCGTAAAGAAACATCGGATGAGATAAAGCGAATCCTTAACAATCATGACATAGGAGTGTATTTTCATGCAGTTAACATCATACGCTCATCACTGATGAAGGTTAAAGATAAAACAGAAGAAAACAAGCAGTAGAATTGTGTGTACTAGATCAATTGTGCGTCGGTGGCATAGCGGTTAGGACGCTCGCCGACCATGCACATGGTCCGGGGATCGATCCCCGGCCACCGACGCACTCCTTTACCTCGCTAAGCCAGAAATAATGCTGGTAAAGAGGAAAGGTTGGGCATGAGGCTAGCAACCCCATCATGTAAAATAAACACTGCAACAGAAACTTCAAGCCACTAGCTTGAAGCCCTATTTCCCACTGGGGAACGTGAAGGAAAAAAAAAGATCAATTGTTGGGACTGTATCACTGTTTATGTAGGATAAACTTCCAGACAGTTAGATATAAGGGTGAAAAGTGGTTCCAAAGACCTTTGCTGACTTGAAGAAGCTAGAAAACAGATCAGCGATTGCAATGCATTCGATAGAAACGGGACACAAAATCAACTTTGATAGGTTCTACAGAAAGGTTTTGATTCGTATAAAGAAAGACTGACTGCGGAAGCCCTACATATATGGGTGAATCCCAACAGTTTGAACAGACGTGAAGGTGTGATGTTGGCTGATGCATGGCAAGTCCTGATTAATAAATAAAAAATGAATATGTATCACTAATTAATCATACTTGGTCTAAATTCCTGATTGTCTTCTTATGGAGAGGCTAACAAACTGTTTACAATTGTTTCCTCATAAACACATACACACACACCATTGTATACCACATATACACATGTATATATTTTTCATATTCAGTTATCTACAACCATGAACTTTTAGTTGAACGTAATCACTAAAATTCTAATGAAAAGTACACTCTATTTAAAGTGTTTAACAAAAGTAGAATTCATGAGTCATTGAATCGGGTCCCATTGGCTGAATGGTAAACGAGCGAGCTCGCCTTATAACCGTAAGGTCCTGGGTTCGAACCCGCTGTCGGGTGGGTGCGTACTGCCGATGATTCCCGAACTTGGACGGATGAAACAGCTATCCAGTACTCCCAGTGGCTGGTTTTCAATGGTTCTCTAACTGATATCAATCCGTGATCAACTCGTAAAAGTAGAACAATATTTGTAAGTCTGAGGTGAAATTTTGATCACAGTTCATGCAGTTTTGTTTAAGATATTTTGATGCCTGTTTCATGACTCATATGATTGGACAAAGCATTCTTTTTAAAGAAACAGGAGATGTCCCTCTTTTTATATATAAACCTCTGTTATGTTAATTTCGATAAATTTCCCTGAAGAAGTTCGAACCAGACTGCCGAACGCAGGAAACGTTGGAATTACTCACTTCAATTTCGCTGAGATTTTACAGATATAATTTTTACAAATGTCTGCCTTTCACTCGGCGCTAAATTATATTTTGGAACTACTACGTTACATCATCAACAAGTTGGGCGAAGTTCAACAATAGCGTCCCAGGAGTGTGAACGCTCCAATGACCTTGAACGCATGCTAGTCGTTGGCTAACGGCATCTGTCATTATCATAGCTGAAATATCAACGCTATTCACCAACTTAGGAGCAAATTTCACCTAGATCACGTTTTTAAGTACTGTTTGGACAATGTGTTAATAGCTCGTTAGGGTTAGGATTAAGGTTAAGGTAAGTATTGGCGCTAGGCTTAAGAACAGGGCTAGAATTAGCATTAGGGTTAGAATTACGGTTTGGATTGAGCTTATGGTTACGATTACGGATAGATTTATAGTTGATATCATTTATTGTAATTTGTTTTATTATCCACGTTTTCCTGCTAAGCAGTCGTCTATCCTCTTGCTGGAAACCATAATAATTGAACCGAGGACTTTTATGGAAGACTGCACAACAGGATGAGAGAGATAAACGATTCACGAAAACAGTTTATCTGTAGTCATCTCGGTGAATGCATATGTACAGAAACTAGTCTAACTTGGCAACTGATACTCCTCGTTACAACTAGGACGTATTTTTAAGCCATGTCAGAGAAAGATAACCTGTTAATAATGCGTTTTCAAGCATTTTCTTGTCAATATACATCATTTTTTGTGTGCAAACATTCCTCATTTTTATGATTGGTCAGCTGGAGGTCACTCGTGCGTTCGCACTCCTGGGACGCTATCGCTGAACTTTGCCACAAGTTGTTTTTAAATAATCTAATTCTACTTATCTCCTTTCAGAGATTTGTTAAATATTTTTGCATACCTTTCGAGTTTGTTCTTCTGTGTAACTATTTTCAACATCTCTAGTCTTCCAGCCCATATCGATTGGTGCAAGAAATAGAACATTTGGTGCATGTTGACGTAATTCTTCTCGGAAATTCGTCGCAGTAAGTTTTGCAGAAATTGTCCTGGAAATATATAGAAATGACACGAAATCATTATTTTACACTTTGAATATTGGTAAAATTAACTATAAAAATAAGAGTGATATGATGACAGCCAAATGGATATGTAAAGCTCTGGTAATACAAATAAAGTATAATTATATTTCAATAGTTTACACACAATGATAACTGTTTTGTTATTGGTAATATTTCGAGCAAAATTACTGCCCGTGTTCACACACCAACTGTTGGAATTGTTTCATTCACACATTTATGATTTGTACTCATATATATAGTTCATTATTTTATTGTTTTTTGGCTCATTCATGCTTTTTGTACTCAGAATTATATTCCAAGTTGTTGATAGTTGTACTGAGCCACCCTTGTTACATGTATCCGGTGTGACTTTAATGAATATCGATTCTGTTATAAGTCTTTCTTTCCATTTGTTCATGTTAGTTTTTAGAATGCACACATTGTTCCAATCGATGTTGTGCTTTTTGTTCCATGCATCTCCAGCTGTCAATGAATATTTTCAAGATTCTTGTAAGCTTGTGTTCCTGTTGGTTGACCTTTCGTTAGGCGTTTATGTTCATTCACTCTTATTTTGAGTGATCTGGACGTTTGTCCCACATATTCAGTCGGACAGTCAGCACAAGATATTTTGTAAATCACATTACTGTTTTTATCCATCATTTTTATGGGATCTTTCAGTTGATTTATTTTATTTTTGATTAGATTTGTCGGTTTAAAAGTTGTGCGAATGCCGATATTTTTGAGGTTTCTTTGAATCGCCTCTGATGTACTATTTTTAGATGGTATTGTGACTGTTTTTTTTTGCATTCTTCTATCTTGTTATTCTCCGTTTCTACCCTCTTTTTTCTCTTTTTTATATTATCTTTTATAAATTCTTTTGCGTAGTTGTTTTCGAGTTTGAATAGGATGTTTATTTCTTTACACGGGTCCTCTGGTGTTGTTGTAAGTCTACGTATTCTATCTGCAAGACCTTGTATTAATCCTCGTTTTATTGTGAGTGGATGAGCTGAATGATAATCAAGGAATCTTCCAGAGTGTGTGGTTTTTCTATATAGCGTTGTTTTAATGCTATCATCTAACACAAGCAGTTCCCGAATTTCATTCTCTACTTCCATAGTGAATTTTATTGAGTCGACATGGTTGTTTATGTGTGAGAAGAGTTTCTCAATATCGTTTTTTCATTATTACTAGTGTATCGTCTACATATCTCCACCAACATTTTAGTGGTGACCTGAATGGTTTAAGGGCATTTTCTTCCCAATAATCCATGAATATGTCAGCTGTGATTGGTGAGATAGGTGATCCCAGTGATACAGTTAAATGAATCGATGTGACTGAATAGTAGATTGCCTGCCTGCCAGCGATGCGATTGTCCTGAATTCTGTTCCCCACACCTAAATCTCGCCTAGCGTTTAGTAAGTCCACTAAAGAGGGAACAATGAATGTCAGCCTAGCACCCAACATCCAGTAAAAAGGAATACTGTCGCTTTTGAAACGACAAAGCTCAAACTTAAAGCCTTGAGTTACACTCGGCATGAAAATAAAACAACAATTAAATAACTTGTGTAAGATGTAACAGTTGTAGCAAACCAGTATATGAAAGCTCTAGAAAGAAAAGCACTAACAAGTTTTAGTTGTTATCCTAGAATATGGCACAGATAAGTATGTAGATGACACATTTATCATCAAAAACAAAGCTGAAAAAGAGAACTTTTTTTAACACAGATTAACTTAATCTTAGAATATATATGTGGAGTTTACTAATGAAGTAGAATCGACTAAGGGAACTCTAGACTTTCTTGATTGTCTTGTAAAAAAAGACAAACTAACGAGAAGCTAAAGTTTACAACTATAGAGAAAACCTATACATTCGAACAAGTATTTGAATTTCCAATCCGATCATCCAATAGGAATGAAAGTTTCAGTAACTTTAAATCTCGTTAACAGAGCTAGAAATATTATGACAATTAATGATGATATGGAGAACGAGATATCCAATATAAAAAAGATTTTGATTGGAAATGCTTATCCGGTAAAGGTACTAGATAATATTATCAATAAAAAGGAGCATAAGGGAAAACAGAAAATTGAAAAATCTTGGCTACCGGTCGACGACAGCGATTCTATATCGAAAGGACACAGCTGAACAACTTCAAAGACTACTTGCTTCATATAATATTAAATAAAGTCTATTTCAAGCCCTCTAATTCTCTAGAGAAAGCTTTGGTGCATGTCAAGGATATGGTTCCCAAAATGACACAAAACAATTGTGTCTATAGGATAAAGTGTTCAGAATGTGAAGCATGCTGTATGGGGGAGAGCAGTAGACAGGTGAATGTCAGAGTGAATAAACATATACTATGCATGGAGCATCCACCTAGAAATGAAGTAGAATTAAAAAGTCTAGAGAAAAGATTGACTATAGCAATGCATACGATAGACAGCGGACATACGATTGATTTCGACAGTGTCGAAATTCTTGGAAGAGGCTTTCATTCAACATATAAAGAAAGGTCGCCTTCTGAAGCCTTGCACATTTTAACCACATCGAATGCAGTAAATAGGAAAGAAGGGATAGACTTATCACCTACCTATATGGCGAACTCTAATGAAACAAGACAGATGAAAAAACAAAACAAGAACCTATATGAACCTCCACGACCCTTAAAAGAATGTATCATCATGTTTATCACATGTGAATTGACGTGTTTTCCATATGACAAATAACATACACTCACACACACACAGCGAAACGTGCAGGAAAATCTCGTTTTAATTCTTTCCTAAACACCCTGGGATTAATTTAAATAATTTATAATTGAGAATCAGTCATCTTTGCTTTAACTCCACTATCATGGTGTATTGAAGATTTAAAGTACTAGCCCTCGGTAAGAATGTTATTCAGACCGTGCCACAACGGTTAGGACTCTCGTCGAACATGAACATGGTTCGGGGTTCGATCCCAAACCGATGCACACCTGATATCAATTGGTAGGCCTGCAAAATTTGGGCTACCGATATCACATGCTGGAAATTCCATACTTGTACCAATAGTACTGTGTGGAATCAAGCTATAATCAAAATAAAATAAATATACCCAGTAATTCATACGGAAAAATACAATTTTTTCGTTCAGCGGAGAAACACTGTTTCTTTTCAACGACTTCATTTTCAAGCCAACTGGACAGTCGTACTTATATTACTGAAAAAGAAGGCATTAAGTGGCGCTAGAAATTTCTCAGTCAATATTGCACATATGATGATAAGAATAAATATAATTAAAATGATGTATTAAGGGGGTAGAGTTGAACTGGATGAATTACAAAACTTATAAAGATTTTTCAATTAGTGAACTGGTACAAAGATTTTTTCGATAGTTTGGTTTGTAAGGGTTAGTTATGTTTTTACGAGTTGATCACGGAATGATGTCAGTTAGAGAACCGCTGAAAACCAGCCACAGGGAGTACTGGACAGCTGCTGTTACATCCCAGTTTGGTAATTATCGGCAGTACGCACCCACTGGGGTTTAAACCCAGGGGTCGCGCTAAATCACGAATTAGTAAAATCACCTGGGGATGAATGACCTGACTGGAGAATGTGTTTATAAATTGAAGACTTCATCGTTCTATGCTCACCTTTCATTACCAAACCGGGTAGTGTTCAGCTACGCGTTTACAGAGAACACGCTTATAATGCCCAATTTAATCAGGCCCACACGAGCATGTCAATGAGTATATGCACATATAGGCGGACATAAGCGGTAGTTTATCCTTAACGCATTGTCGAATCATATTTCGGCGGGCAAATATTAAATGTAAATCAGCTGCATAAAAAGAGCGTTTAATACACTTAGATAAAGGACTTTTAATGACTTCAGAAATAGTTTCAACTTTGAATGCCAAACTCATAAACAGTGTCTTCGTTGGCACTGTGATTTGGCTAGAAAGGGTTTCTTTCTTGATGTTTCTGTCAGTAAACCTTCTAAGATATCCATTATTTAAAAGAGTTAGAAGTAGGCTTTCTAATTCTAAGTCAATTATATCTGCAGAGCGAATTTTTCGAATTCTAGAGCATAGAGAACGGACAAGATTTCTCTTCCTCCCTAGAGGCAAGCAACTGTTGAAGTTAGTGTTCTGCTTCGTAAATGTTAGTTTTCGCGATAAATCGACCTTTTTAACGTGCTATCCTCTCTTCTGTCTAACATCATATCTAAGAAGTGAAATGCGAAATTCGATTCTTCTTCGATAATGAAAAGCATCGTTGGGTGAGAACTATTAAATTCTTTTTCGAGAATCACGGTAGTTGAACAATTTTCGTTACAAATAATGATAGTGTCGTCAATATGTCGCGTATACATATACAAACTCAAGATTGTTTCTCTAATTTTCTTTTAATGGTAGTTGATTGCTTCGAAAGTTGCTAATGAGTCTAACTTAAGTAGCAGTAGGTAAACACCTCTTCGACTTAGTACAGACGCATTTTATTCAGCGTTAAACATGAATCAGTTCCAGGGATAAGTAGTACGACAAGTAAATCATACACAAGTTGTTAATTCCTTTCTTCAAATATTGGCTTTTTGTAGGGATTTTGTTTTGATTGCTTGGGAGATTTCATCATAAGCTGACATCAGTTAGAGAAGCACTAGAAAACCTGGGAGTGTTGAACAGCTGTTTCGTCGCACTAGTTTTGGGACTCTTCACTAGTGCGCACCCACCACAGTGGGGTTCGAACCCAGAGCCTTCTGGTTACAAGGCGAGCTAGCTCGTAGACCATTAAGCCACTAGGACCACATCCAATAGCCGTGGCCAGTAGGGTACAGCAGGATGAAGGTGAAGCAGCAACTCATCGGAGAAGACATTGCGAAAGGGTCACGCTATGCCATGAATTGGCAGAAGTTAGAATTCATAGGCTGGCCATCGTATCAGGTCCCAGTGGCTAGCTCACCTTGTAAAAGGAAGGTCCTGGGTTCTAACCATGGCGGCGGATGCATACTGATGAAGAGTCCCGAACTAGGATGAGGGAAACAGTTGTCCTAGTACTCCCTGACTGGTATTCCAGTGGTTCTCTAACTGATGTCAGCTCATGATGAAATCCTCTGACCAATCGAAATTCCTTTCTTATCTAGTCTTTCTTTTCTTTTCACATTTGTGTTTAACATTATACTACTTATTACTAGTAAGGAGCATGAGTTATATCATTGATATAAGAATAAAACTTGTGCATTGTAGTAGAGTATAGTTCCATTATGGGTAAAACTTGTTTTGATAAAGTTTCACAGTGTTATACAGTAATGTTTACTGATGACGTTTCGAGCACAATTTATTGCTCATAATCATATCAGGGTTACGAGTTATGCTTCTATCATTTTGTTACTCTGGCATCCTTAGTTATTCATTTCCATTGAAATTTATCTCACTTTCTATATAAACATACACTTTGGTCTGGTTGAACAGTATTTACTGTACTTCTCTTCTGTGTATTCCACCCTGTGGTGAAAATTGTTCATTCAAATCTGTTTATACTTGACCTGTATATTCGCTCGTTGTATGTATCCCCGTGTGGATCACCGATCATACAGACTTGACATTTTTTCTTATTAATTCATAAATAATCCCCATCCAGACATTCATGAAAACAAAACACGTTGTTCAGCGAAGAGTCTGTTTTCGGCAACGAATTCATTCACTTAGCTGTACAACTACAATTACATGTATACTTATTTCTGTAATTGTGTGTATACATTAGGTTTGTCCGATAAGAATAAAAATAAGTTAAGGTTATTGTTGTCAAGATATTTCACAATTGTGATGAGTAATCAAATTGTAAGGAGAGTGTGTGGGTGAAGTTTGGTAAGAGGGTAGTGGTGATGCGTTGTCAAGTAACATAGTTAAGAATGTCAACCAACACATAAAAGAAGCTGAGTAAGCGTAATACAGTTACGTAACAAGGCGAATAGTTTAATGAGTGAGTTGTGATTTGGATGCACATAGAAACAAAGGAAAATATGGAATTATGTAAGAGTTCTAAAAACTACAAATGTTATAGGGAGCTCGAAAAGAGAAAAACAAACACATAAGTATCAAGATATAATAGAGAAGATTTGTAGCTCAGGTGGATGATTTTAGTGTGGTTGTGTTCTCTGAGCTGGATGGTTTGGTTGCGAAGCTTTCATTACTCTACTGAGCAACATCTTCAGCGCATACTTCGATGTGAAGTGAGCTTTTAGAATTCTCTATGAGTTTATTAGTCATCTCTTCTAGTAACCTTGAACGTGATTGGTTGTTTTCCTGTGACATTTCATCCCCTAGTTTGCTTGTCTGGGTGCTGGCTGCTTCTTTGGTCTGAATGTCGTTAGTCATTCCTTCTGCTAACCTTGAACGTGATTGGTTGTTTTTGTGTGACTTCTCACTTTCTAGTTCACTTGTTTTGGTGTTGACTGTTTCCTTGACCTGAAGTTTGACTTTGTTTTTGTGTGAATTTCTTCGTATGGATTGGTATATTTTGTCAATCTCTATGTGTCTATTGATTGCTGATTCATTTGAATACCAGGCCTCTAGGAATTCTCTGGCATTTTGCAGTTTCCTTTGTCTAAGATTTGAACATTGTCCCAGTCGAATTGGTGCCCGTGGTTGTCTGCATGTAGTGATATGAGGGAGTGTATGTCGTGTCTTTTGACAGCTAGTTTGTGTTCGTGAATGCGGAGACGAAGAGGGCGTCCACTTTGACCAATGTAATGTTTGTCGCAGTCGTTGCAACTTATCTTGTAGATGACGTTAGTTTTGTCACAGGAAAACAACCAATCACGTTCAAGGTTACTAGAAGAGATGACTAATAAACTCATAGAGAATTCTAAAAGCTCACTTCACATCGAAGTATGCGCTGAAGATGTTGCTCAGTAGAGCAATGAAAGCTTCGCAACCAAACCATCCAGCTCAGAGAACACAACAACACCAACATAAGTATCAAGTCAGTGGAAGTCAACACGGTTGTTACCATGACAGTAGCAGTGATTGGATGATTTTCGTTTGTAAACATAACTCTGGTTTCTCCAACTGAATGGCTAAGGCTTCAGCAAGACAAAGGAAGCGTACTGACTTTGATAGGTTATTCTTGACTATGTAGATCACTTTGAAGCAGGAGGCATTTGTTGAGATAGAATGATGACCAGTGTTGACGAGATGTTCGATTATCACACTCCTTATAAAGTCACTATTACCTTTTTGTAGCCATGCGGGATAGTGTTCTTGAATCCTTTCAGACCAATGTACCCGGTTACCACCACAGCAACAGGTGAGCTGATGTGTGCACAGAGAAGTGGCCAGATGCGAGATCTGATATATATATATATATATATATATTAGTATCCAAATAAACGGTCATAATGCACGACAATGATTAGATCCGGCATCTAACATATTATAATTTCAAAAAACACAACAACTTTGAAAAGACATCGACAAACTGCTGTCGGCAAATGTGTAGTGGATACGGTAAGCGACCTGGTCAACTTGACTGTTGTTTATTCTTCCGTAGTACCAAATTCACAGGGATTTTTTTGTTTACCTCCCCCAAAGTAATTTATATTTTTTGAGGCTCGATTTGTTGGTTGACCGATTACAACTGCCTGACATCCCAACTAAATCTGTTTGCAATAAGACTAATCATTGAATAAGTAATAACAATTTTGGCAGTACTGTAGTGTACATTGAACCTTTGAACTTTCGTTTGAACGCATTCACCCATTTTTGGCACTTTTTCCTCTTTCGATTCGTGACTTTCTTGTACATTTTTGGTTCGCTCTCTAGTTGTACTTTCATTCAGCGCACTCTCCGAGCCCACCACGGTCAAGGCAGCAGATAACTGTACAACCTCTTAATTTTTATCAAATTTCATATCTCATTTGTGTAAAATATAAATCTGTTCCAGGCACACTTGCCATCTCGAGACTTTTTACGCTGATTCGGTTCGTTAGTGCTTGCACGTTAGGCAGAGTACAGCTAAGGTCAGAAAGCGGTGAATAAGTTTTGTAAGGGTGGTTGTTTTAGGTTTACATTAAGCTAAGTTCAACTCTTACAGCACAAACATTCTAACTTTATTACAAATCAAATTTATGGGGGTTAAAAACAGTTGCATTTAACTAAAAGTTATTGAACACATAAATAATCGAATTTCAACTTACTGAGCTTCTGGTTTTTGTTTAACTATCCTGAGAATATCGCCTTGTGGTGGCAGATTGACTTGTTTTACTGTATATATAATACCATTGTTAAATTTCATTCCCCGGAGATCTGTCACTTCAGCATGATTGAAAGCTAACTAAGAGGTGAAACAATTGGGTCGGTCGCGGCGGCGGGTGGGGAGGGAAAAGCAAGCAGAATGAAAGGTATAAAGAAAATAATTCTAGATGAAAGGCTTACATGTTAGTGTTAGTGTATGCAAGAAGTTGAGCTCCTTGAAGATTTCACCATGCATTAACTTCACCAAGAAGAAAACCACTTGTATTCATCATTAATATAAAGCATATAAATCCTCTTCTGCTGTGCTCACTGAAGCTGGTGTCCCCCAAGGTGCTGTACTCTCCGCACTTCTCTTTTGTTTCTTTCAACATGGCCTACCATCTTCAAATGACATTAATTTTGTTAAATATGCTGACGACCTGACTGTATCTCTGCCTGTCAAGTGTCAAAGTGACTGCTCTAAACTAAATGGCTTTATGTCAGAAATCAGCCAGTGGTCCAAGGAAAACTGTCTTACCCTAAACCCCTCCAAATGTCAAACAATCAATTTCACCTTTACGCATAAATCTGACCTAAACAAACTGGTTGGCTCTCACGAGGTGTGCAACATAGATGGCACTGAAATAGCAACCAAGTCGGAAATTAAATACCTAGGCGTCATTCTATCTGCTGATCTTTCCTGGTCGTCTCATATCTTGATGATTTCTAAGAAAATACTCCGTTTTACCTTCTACATTAAGAAGTTAAGACATTCTGGAATAACCCAACCCAACTCTTACTCCTACAATTCGTTAACTCTCGCATTCTGCCTATTATTCTCTATCGTTCCCCCTTAGTTTTTCCAGGACTACTGAAGAAAGACTATACCTTATTACAGATGTTAAAGGTTGTCAGCAGGGTAAGCAACGTGCCACTTAACCAGCTTGTTAATATTCTGGTCGACAGGCACATGGACTCATGTGAAAAATGGGCTAAATCCATTTTATGTAACTCACACCACCCTCTTCATTCACAACTCTCCCCTTGTATCTCATCAGGCAAAACCAGAAGCCAATATAGAAAACTATATGCTCGCACCAGCAAGTACAAAAACTCAACCATACCCTACTTAGCTCGTGTTCTGTGCGATAAAGAAAGCATTAGCCGTGAAACTTATAACTTAATAAATAGTCGGTAGAACAACTGCATCTCGTCTTTCCAACTCATATCATTTATGAGTACAACGTTTTCTTTCTTCCTTTTCTCTTTTTTTGTTTCTCTCCTCTTTACAAACTCTACTTAAAACATTCTTCTTCGTTCTTTCACACTCTGTATATCTCGAACATTTTTGTTACCGCTTACGCCAGTATATATGCTAGTATCTACTTTTCTAACACCTTCAAACATTCTGTTCACTTTTGGCTTTGCTACCGATATGCTACCGATATGTTGTTGTCAAAATTAACCGAGACTACCCATAATCTAGAATGTAGAATTTTATTTATTGTTAATGTACAAACTTGATGCAATACTGTAGTGAAATACTGAGAATTCCATTCTGTATCGCAAGTACTGTTATGGAATAAAGTAAATTATTATTATTATTAAAGTATACACATCAAATACTGGGAAGGATGCTGTCTAGCTGATCACATATTATGGCGAAAGTGGTTATGTTTAGCCTTGAAAATACTTGATCGCTTATTTGTCTGGGTACTCAACTTCCGAGAATTCCCTGTCCGTTGTTTAAAATATCTATATTTTCTCAGTCAGATTATTGTTGATAGTTGTCTACATGCATCCGGTATGAAAGAATATATGTTGCGTCTTTTGACACCTAGTTTAAAGTCTTGAAATTGGATTCGAAGCGGATCCCTACTTTGATCATATTACTGTCTACCGCATGTCGTCACTAATATTATTATTACTATCATCACTACTGTCATAATTATTTTCATTTTTACATTTTCCTACATACTTCCTGACTAATTTATCCGCGTAATTATTAAGTAAGTTTCAAAGCTTCTCTTATATGCCTCGCTTCCTGTCTTAGATTTTCCTTGGTGCTGCACAAAAAAGAAGCCTTGAAACTTAATTATTACCCGAATAAATTAGTCAGGAAATATTTAAGGAAATGTAAAAATGAAACAAATAATGACAGTAGCGATAGTGATAATAATAATGATAACAATAATAATGATGATAATAATAACAGTGATAATAATAATAATATTAATGACGACACCAACAATAAGGAATCTAAATCATCAGTAGTAATTCCATACAAGGAAAGAACCTCGAAAACCACCATACGGAGAATTCTTAACATGGCAGGAGTAAAAGTGGCTGACATTCAAATCACCCACAAACTCAATTAGAAACAAGCTTTGTCGGTTAAAGGATTCTGTCAGTGAAGCCAATTAAACGAAACAACTTAGTTTATCTAATACCTTGCTGGAATGATTGTTAGGTAAAATACATAAGTCAAAGTAGTAGAACAGGGGTAGTCAGACTAACATAGCATAAAAGGCTAGCAGCGAAATCTAGATTAGTTGACCTGGGTAAGATAAGAAATCTGAAGAATAGGATAGTTTAGCTATAGCACTCACTACATGCAGTTACACATAACCATACAATAGGATATTGGATAAGGTGACAGTTGTAAAATCTGATATAACAGCAGGGTGGAGGGAGAGATTGATAACAGAAGCTTCGTGTATCGAATCAACTGCAAATACGTGTAATAGGAGTGATTCAACACCTGTCTCACATATCTGGTAAATTCTACTACCCCTACGACGACAAATAGGAGAGAATGAAGAAAACTATAGAACTCAAGTTTCCAAGTTATGTGATTATAATTGATGAAATGATTATGAACAATAATAGATTGTGTTCGAAACTGTGTCATCCAGTAAATAATACTGTTTCACTGTGTGATACATCTGATAAACAAACTAATATGGAATAAATTGAGCATTAGGTTTATATAGGCTGACTTCTTTACTACCTTTGTTTGTTCTACTGAAAAAGACATCTAAGAAAGCATTTTGTTATCTAATTCTTCTTCTGTGAACCTGATATCTTCAAACACTTAGTAAAAATGAGGCTATCTGTACAAATCGTTTGGTAGTGGTTAGAAGTAGAGTCAAGGTTGAGTGTTTCATCCTATTTAAGACTCTCCAACTCGATGTAACTGCATCCCTGGTGAGGGATGCTGCTTTCACTGAGATTTACACCCTATCACTCATTGGGAATGCACATGAATCCAGCTAACCAGTCCCGAATACGACTAACACGCGTCTTATATTCAAATGCTAACTGGAAACCAATCAAGAAACGCTACGTCCATCTAGAAGCATCACTTATACGTCTGTACTAGGAGACTATGTATCGGGAGACAGAGAGCATTTTGGTCCATTATAACCAGTCCATGGAGAATTTAAAATAAATTTTAAAACAATTAGTTGCCTCTATGAATTTAGACAAAACGAAAAGAAGACGTAGTTTGTCTGAATCGTGTAATGTATTTGTTCTGTACAAAAAGCCTTAGTGAGTAAGGTGCCTCTTCAGTAGAATCCACTGAATATGCATTGAAGACAGGTATACTTAATGAGGAAGAAAGAAAGTTGACACAAACTCTGGTTGATAATAACAATTATTCAGACAAGTTCATCAGGAGATATAAAGTAGTCAGTGGAACACCAAGACCTAGTCTCCAACTTGCCCCTAAGAAAGACGTGTACATCAAGCTACCCTACGCAAGGGTGATCATAGCAGCTTGGCAGCTAGACAAAGATTGAACGATGCTGTTAGAAAGAATTTTTATGCAGCCAATATCATAATAATTGAGAATGTGAAGCCAATATATCCATCTAAGCCCTTTGAACATGCGGAAAATGATGTCACATCCCAATGGATTTACCAATTTGAATGTATGTGTAGCCACACATATAAAGAGGACTTATCGATCTCTGCTAGTAAGGGCAGACATCTCCAGAGCATGTTCGTAAATAGCTTCAGAAGCGAAAAGAATCCCCAGTTATCATTAATGAATGAAAACAGACTACCTAGCTCACCTACTGCGAAGCTTATTATAGATGGGACAGGATATAAAATTGATGTTTATATATATTTCAAGCCTATCCATCCATGAAACGTGTTTGGT